ACTGTTACTTTATAATACCAAAAAACGGATTCAAATGTCTTCCTTCTTTAGACTTAATTTTAAACAGCCACAGGCTCAAGTTTTCAAGTCTGAAGAAATATGATTACTATGAGGTCAGGATGTAAGGTTCTCCTGATATACACACTTCCCATCATGAGCACAAGTTGAGATCTCCTTAGAAAACAACTTGGTTCAAGGAAGACCACAAAGACCAACAACCAAACCTTACATCAAATCATCAAAACTATCACACTGCTTGAAAAATACTGAACATATGATCATTACCAGTAATATAAACTGATTTGTGTCTTCTCAAAATATAAGTTGAAGGGGCCAACCAGATAGCTCAGCAGATTAAAGTGCCTGCTTAGGCAGATGCAGAGCCCGGGGTTCAAGGTTTGATCCCCAGCCACCATGCTGGACCCACCCCCTGGGGCACACTAAGATGGCAACTTAGACCAGACGTGGTGGTGTGCACCTGTAATCCCAGCACTTGCGAGGCTGAGAACAGGAGGATCACTAAGAGTCTGATCTGTGTAGTGAGAGCCTGGAGACCCTGTCCTAAATAAAAAGAAAAGTAAATTGAAGTCCTAACCCCTGGTTTCTGTCAATGTACCCTTTCTGGGAAATAGTCTCTAAAAATGGATGTAAATTTACCAGAGGTCATACTGTACTTGATTAGGTCAGACCTAATCAAGCAACTGGTGTTCTTTTAAGAAAAGGACAGAATGTCTCTAGTGGCAGATTGGAAGGGGTATGTAAACTCCACCAACTGACATACAGTACCCAAGTTAGAAAGAGAAGGATCCTCCTGTGCAACTACAGAGCATGATTCTGTCAAAGCTTGACTTCAGATGTTAGTCTTCATTCACAACTGTGACATAAATCCCTACCGCTGTAAGCCATCCAGTTTATGGTAATTCATTATGGTAACCCTATAAAACTGATACAATCAGAAATAAGTCATTTATCTGATCCTTGTCTTCAACGATCCTGAATTAAAACCATCATTGTTTTGTTTCTTCAAATGGTTTGTTTAAATGACCATCATTAAAATTTGCAAGTCATTAAGGCTGTGTGACAAAAAGATAGGCAAGACTAAAATGCTATTCCTGCTGGGAGTGGTGATGACTGCCAGTTATCCCAGCACTCTAGGAGGGCAAGGAAGGCAGAAAGATTACAAGTTCAAGCCCAGCCTCGGCAACTTAGTGACATAGTAAGATACTGTCTCAAAATAAAAAAATAAGGAAAGGGCTAGAAAATAAGAAAAGGGTTGGGTATATAGTTCTGCATGAAGACCTTGGGTTCAACTGCTGGTATAGGTCAGGGGAATGGGACCAAAGGGGATCCTTTAAGCATCAAGTGCAAAATTAAGGGGATACAGAAAAAAATTCTTTTGGAGCTTTGAGTAAAGTGGTTTTCACCTCAAATACGAAGCTACAATTCACAAAATGTAACAATAGTCTTCACCCCTCCCATTTCAGTCTTATATACAAGTGACAGGGGAAGGGGGGGCAAAAAAAAAAAAAAAAAAAAAAACAAGTGACTAGCCTCAAAGTGGAAAAGAATTCATTTGTTCAATTTTGGTTAGCTAGAAATGGTACTAATGAAGGATAATCTTATAATCTACAAAGTGCTAAATTTTTATTTTTGGCCACTTGACTTCACATGCTTTCAACATATATGAAACATTAAATATATATATATACACACACATATATGAAATATTCTGCAGCCTGTTGCTCACAAGAGGTAACAGTATTCAAAAAGTCCTGGAGAACTGCATAGTTTGGTTATAAATATCCCTTCCCTTGAAGGTAGTAAAACTAAAAAAAGGCAAGGAGAAGACCTAAAGCAACACCCAACTACTAACAAGCACAACTCAGGCACAAGAACTTGGTTCTTGTATTATTCTGCATGAAAAGGACTTGGAACTCTTTATAGAAACAGCTGATCCTAAGTCTAGAGCCAGAAACGATGAGCCTGAAACATCTCAGTGCCAGGAAGAGACTGTTTAAAAAAAAAAATTTTGACAAATGCATATAAAAAGTAAATCGATTTCCAAATAACTAACAGAAATACTCCAGTCTAATGGAGAGGAGGCATAACTCTCCTTTTCTTAAGGTTAGTTTCTGCAGAACAATTTCCTTTCAAGGAGTACAGTCTGCAAAAAGGAGAAGGGGGAAACTTAAAGTGGAAAAACCTGACAAACGTTACCTCAGGCAAATGATCAAAGTCAGCATCAACTGTGTTAGGTCATGCTGACAGTATGTACCCTTACAACAAGTGATGAAAAGGCTATTTTACCTGTCATTCTCCTCCCTAAACCCTGAAAACTATTTCAATCAGGAGAAAGAATCTGGCTAATTCCATTAAGAGGGAATTCTACAATACAGTTGACCAATACTACTTTAAAATGTCAAGGTCACCAGGCACAATTGTGCACACTTGTAATCCCAGAACTTCCAGAGGCATAAACAGGATCACAAATGTGTCTAGTCTGGGTAACTTAGTGGTACAGCTTCAAAACAATGTAAAAAAAAAAAAAAAGTAAAAACACTGTTGATGCTGGTTGATAAAAAGGCCACTAAATTCAATCCCCAGTACTTTAAGTTAAAAAAAAAACAAAAAAAAACAAGGTCACAGCATGTGGGTTTGTTAGGGTTGCCATAATAAAGTAACAGACTAGGTCAAGCAAGGGAAATGTATGTAAACATAGTTCTGCAGGCTACGAGGCCCTGGATCAAAGCTTCAGCAGGGTTTGTTTCATCTGAGGCCTCCTCTCCTTGGCTGATTGGTGGCATTATCTGTGTCCCAATTCATTCTGATTCTCTCATTCATACCTGCCTCCCAAGGTTCTAGGGGACTGAGCTCCATCCCCAGCCACTACCACTCCTTTTTTTGGCGGGGTGGATCCTTTTAAAAATTTTTACTAGTGCACATTCACAATATATAATGATTGCATTCATCGAGGGGTGTTTGGTACTTGTAGGTAACAAATCTTAGGGGGTTTTTCATGTCCTCTTCCCCTCCTCTCTCTTAGGATCTTGCTAAATTATGTAAACTGGGTTCAAACTTGCGACCTTCCAAACACAGCCTCCCAGACTGCTGGAAGCAGGGGTACCACCATGCCTGATCCTAATCTCTGCTAACGAAGACAGGAATTACAGTGGATGAGTCTACCCTAAGGACCTCAATTTACCTTTTTACAGATCCTCTCCATTTGGTTAAACTGAGTTTAGAACTTCAACATATCAATTATGGGAAGACACAAGTTCATAACAGTCATAAAGGAAAACCTGAGAAAGTTCCCAAAACACATAACAATATAATGGGGAATGTGGCAACCCACAAAGGATGGCACAGAAAAGAAACTTTTGGAACAAGCTAAGGAAACAAATTATTAACTTCAGTTAATAACATCAATTTTACTCCATTTACTATGATTGACTGATTGATTTGGTAGAGAGTCTCGCTAGCAGCTCCAACTCACAATGATCCTCCTGTCTCAGCATCCACAGCGCTGGGATTACAGGTGTGTTCCTCCACGCCCAGTTTCACCGGCTAACTCAGCTCAGGGCCAGCTCAGCATGGGGTACCAGGGATTGAACCTAGGTCCTCGAGCTTGACAAGCAGGCAATTTGACCGCTGAGCTATCTACCTGGCCCTACTCCATTTAGTGTAACGAAGACACACTAATGTATGGTACTAAATGAAGAGCTCAGGGAAGGCAGTTGGGGTATGCACTATCTGCTTAATTTACCTGTGAAGTAAAACACGTTCTAAAATAGAAATTATCACAAACTTTTACTACTATTTAACTTTTCAAGAACACCTTAGAGGGGCTGGAGAGATGGCTCAGTGGTCTAAAGCACCTACTTAGAACAAGCTTAGCAAAGCACAGGGACCCGGGTTCAATCCCCCAGCACCACATGCCAGCCTGCGCCGCACCCTGGTGGGCTGAGCTGGACACACACTCACACACGCAAAAAAAAAAAAAAAAAAAAAAAAATAAAAAAAAAAAAAAAAAAACACCTTAGAAGAACTGATTTGCTGTTTGTCTCCCAAGAACCCTCTGTCCATTTACAAAACTAACCCACAAGCAAAATCTTTAATGCTCTCTTCTGGTCTTGCGTTGGTATACTCAAATAAGAAATTCCACGCTTATTTTATTTGGGGGGCTGAGCTCTTAAATGCGAATGTTAATTTAACAATTTTGGGGCCCGGGAGATGGCTCAGTGGAATAAGCGCTTCCCTGGCAAGCACAAAGCTCTAAGTTCAACTCCCGGTTCCATCAAAAGGAAAAAAAAAAAAATCAAATATAAGGTTAGTAACTGAAATAATTTGGTAACATTCCAAGAATCAGATACAAAGTTATTATTTGCCTAACTCACGTAATTTAACAATTTTACCACCCACGATCAAAATCAGTCTAGTGCTCATTTAGATGACAATACTATTTATCCACCATAGGACGAAGCAACTAAAATACTGAATGCTACCTGTCACCTTTGTGAGCTAAACATATAAAAGCCCATCATAGACTAAGAACACATAAAAAACACACACTAAGGAACCTAATCGTAGTCACCAGGACCCAGCCGCCCCCGGCTGCGCCTGCGTAGTCGGAGCTGCAGGAAGCCTGCGCTCCAGGTTCCTGCCCCGGCCTCCTCCGCTGCGCTGCACCCCCCCTCCCTACAGGACTTCCTTCTGCGCACGCGCAGTACTTAACGGCGGCCAGGAGCCCGACAATTAGTCCCGTCTCATCCGAGAGGAAACTTTTAAGAGTCGTAAACACTCGCCTTAATAAGAACACTTCCTTTTCACCAAGAGCACTGATCTGACCCACGGGCAGACGCCACTGCTTTAAGGGTCTAAGGTTCCAGCGCTCGCACCAAGAATCGTACGCAGACTATATTATGGTGAGGCTGCGTCGCCACAAAAACCAAGAAGGTTGTTCTCCGGAAGGTGCCCACGTGCAGTTGTTCTTCATCACTTACCTGCCCTCGTTCAGGAACACCGCCGTCGCCACCGTTCTTCCAATACGGCTCCAACCCTTTCGATGCTTCTACTTCTACGAACAAGACAAGATGGCGCCCGAGTAAGCTCACCCGGAAGTGAATAATGATAACATCCGCCCGTCGGCTGAAGCCATACAAACGCTCATCCCGGCTTGTGCGCGCGCGATATCGCGGTGTCGTGCTCCCGCGCCATTTTTGTTGTGGGCAAATCCACTTTGCCTTTACGACCGCCTGGCTAGTTCTGTGCATTACGTCTCAAAATGTGCCGGTACCGTGGCGGACGAGCTTTCATCTTTATAGTGGGCAGGAGACCAAGAGCGTAAGTTCTCTACGCAGACAGTACCCCCAAATTCTTTAAAAACGCGATCTTCCGCTTTGGAAAAGGGTTGGCGTTCGCCTCGCCGCTTCCAGAGCGCGGAGGGGCCCTGGAACGCAGCCGGCCGGCTCCGACCGTTGGGGCTCCGGCGGGCAGCGCGGCGCCGAGGTTCGGAAGAGCGGGGCGCCCGCCAGAGGCCACCTGGGCCCGCCGCCACAGCTGACGCCCGGGCTGGCCGGCCCGGCCTCCTTTGTTAAGTAAAAGCATCGCGCCCCCTGCTGGGCACATTTGGTCAGCGCGGCTTGGCTCCGCCAGTCCTCAATTTCAGTCTCAGTGACTTCTAGAAAAAAGTGGCGGGAGGCCTGGTTTTCGTCCGGCCACTTCGCCTTAACTACAAAATGGCTTCCCTCAGGGCGCCTGAAGTGCCGTCGATCGGAAAGCAGACGTTGATTTCAGTGGCCTAAAATGTATGAAAGGTACAAATTTCTAAGCCACGAGCTTCAAGTTATAAAATTACAGGAAAACAATGTTCAAAAGTACAGATTTCTTAGCTGAAACTAGGTAAGTGCAATTTCAAAGTAAACTTTTGTATGATGTAAACACTACTTAGAATTTTAAATCCTGGCCAGGTGTTGGGGCACATGTCTGTAATCCCAGCATCAGGGAGGCTGAGGCAGGAGGATACCAAAAAAAAAAAAAAAGATCTTAAATTATTTCCTTGGCAGTTGTACGAAAGAAAAGCATTGGGCTGGGAATGTCTCAGTGGTAGAACACCTATCCAGCATGTGAGGGGCCCGCCATAAACAGCAAATTATCATAGGAATAAAATAAAGTGGACAGATAAATGTAAGATAGATGTAAGATTACAGAATACCTTTATATGAAATTCAACCTTTAATAAGCACCAGAAACTCCAGCACTCTAGGAGTGTCATTAGAATAAAATACTCATCAGCTAAAGATCTGCTGGTCCTCAAATCTAAGTAACACTCAACATAATTTTATTTTCAGGGTACTGTTCTTCAATTACTTATGGCAACACCATGATATAAATTTATGAAGATACTACTGGGGACAAAAACAAAACCCTGTTTCTTTGCTTCTTTTCCACTTAGCACAACTAAGACAATAGTATATACTATGCTTGTTAAAAAAAATCTTTCTGGAACAAAAACAGGGAGAACATAGACCACGTTATTAGTAGTTGTCCAGTTTGCTCTATGTTTCCAACTTGAGAAGCATTCTAAACAGAGAAATTTATCTTTTAATGAAATCTTATTTTACTAGTGTCAGTATCAGATGTCCCTATTCCCTGTAATCACCCTATAATTGGTATTTCTCTACCAGGGATTGAACTCAGGACCCTACACTTGCCAGGAAGGAGCTTATTCTATGGAGCTATCTCTCCTGCCCTGAAATAACAATTTTTGAGTAAGGACTTTTCTTCTGTCTTCTGAGTGTCCTGCATTCAGCTTAGTACACACATTTTCACATTTGTTTAGTAAATGAATTAGTATTTTGAATAGTAAGCTTGATTTATCCCAGTAGTTTGGGATAGTCATTGCCAAGTGGAAGGGATTATTAAATGCCTCACATTTTGTACTCTGCTGTTGTAGGCAGCTGAATTTGATAGAAATATTATAGGCAGTCAGGCAGGCCTAGGCTCTCAAGGAGACAGTATAGAAGACAAGATGATTTCAACGTTGGGAGAGAGAGACACTTCTGCTATGGGCCGGACCTCAGGACAAAAGAATAAACAAATGCAGCCACAAACTTCCCTACCAATGGGCATCAGGGATTGATATTTTAAATAGGTGTCAACCACCTGGAGACCAGAGAGAGTCACTGACCCAACCCTCTACAAGAAAAGCCCATTTTACATTCATGCTGGATTGCTACTTGACTCGCTTTCCCACTTGGTCCTGGATTTAATCAATTTTGCCTGAGCAACTGTGCTTATAACCTTATTGGCTGACCATAGTTTTGTCCCACCAAAGCCAGTTCCCATATTCTCTACCTTAATACCCACCTCACCACATGCTTTTGCTCCATAAAAATCCCTAGAAAAGACAGATTCTGCAGCAACCCACTTGGATCCCCTTCTGTCCTCTCAGATTTCTTTTCCCTAATAAATACATTCTGCTCCTAACCTCTGTTGTTCCTAAAATTCATTCTTAGGTTTTAGAGAGCATAAACTCAGCCCAGTATTTTTCAGGTTACGGGTTTCATTCCTCTGTATCAAAACCAGCAAGGGAAATATGGGACACATCTTCCATGGCAACCTTCCACAGTCAGCAGTTGATGAGAGAGCTTGGTATAACTACCCCCAGCTGCAAGCCTGGAGCAAGAGCTGGCAGGGACACCCCTGGAAGGGCTGAGAGTCTGAACCTGGCTCCCAGAGCAGCCCCTGGGTTGTCTCCCACTGCCAGTTTCCCAGCAGTCACTGTACCAGATCATTAAATTGATATAAAGGAATGAAATGCCCAGCCCAAGAGGTACCTGGGACAAGTTTGTGTTCTTAAAAACCAAAGAATGAATTTTAGCAAGAAACAGAGGTTAAGAGCAGACTATTAAAGGCCAACCAAATAGCTCAGCAAGGGCCAGCCAAATAACTCAGAGGATTAAAGCACCTAATTAGGCAGAGCAAGTGGCCATGGGTGGGGCCGCTGGGAGGCGATTGAGACTGGGTGTGGTGGCACATGCCTGTAATCCCAGCATTTGGGAGGCTGTAAACAGGCGGATCACTATGATTCTGATCTAGTAGTGAGACCCTGAACACCCTGTAGACCCTTCCCTAAAATACAAAAAAAAGAGAGCAGAATATTTATTGGGGAAAAGAAAATTTCTGTCTGAGAGAGGGACAAAAGGGGGCCTGAGCCCCCTTTTACCTCATAGAGTAAAACCATGTGGTAAGAAGGGCCTCAGGTGGAGAACATGGGAACTCAGGTGGGTGTATTAGGGTTTTACTCAAGGAACAGATATAGTACAAGGAACAGATATAACACAAGATGTACAAATGTATAAGAAATTACAAGATTGGCTTACGATGGTCAGCCCCAGAGTTGGAGGAAGTGTGCAGAAGGCGTCTGCCTGCCCGAGACTGAAGGATTCAGACCAGCACCTAAAACTCACTACTGTTCTCCATGCAGATCTGTATCACTCGGCCAATGGGTTTGCGATGGAAGGGATGGAAGGCTGAAGGATCCAAGCCAGAGACCAAAGAGTACACTGGAAGCCAGGAGATGGAATCCAAATTGACTGCAAAGACTGAAGTTCCTCTGAGGAAATGGAATGCAGAATCCTTCCTCGACCCCTTTATATACCCTTTTTGTGCTGAGTCACTCAGGGGCTGGGCCCTCCCCACCCTAGGGTGATGAACCACCAAGGTGATCCAGCCAAGTTGACACAATGTATGGACCACTACAGTGGGCATGAGGTCGGACAAAACTATAGTCAACCAATGAGATTACAACCACCATTGCTCAGGTAAGATTAAGTCAGTTAAACAGGGAAGCGAGTAATGTAGCAAGTGGGTAAGAATACAGTACAGGGTCTCTTCCTATGGAGGGCTGGGTTAGTGACTCTGGCTCTTTCAAGATGATTGATGCTTACTTACAATATCAATCCCTGAAGCCCATCCCTAGGAAGGTATGTGGCTGCATTTGTTTACTCTTTTGTCCTCAGTCCTGGCCCACAAGTGTGTTTATCTCTTCCGAAGTTGCAAAGTCACCTTGTCTTCCATATTGTCTCCTTGGTGGCCTAGCCCTATGTGACTGCCTATTTCTTTATTTCTATTTTAGCTCACTATAACAAAATGACTTTTACAGTTCCCTTTTCCTCACCTCTCATAGTATTTCTCTATAGCATTATGATGTGGTAGAGACAATAGGCCAGTACTGTGTATGTATTTCAACACCAAATTTCTCAGAAATTGTGCTGCTGTGTTTAAGGGTCTGGTTGAACTCTGTGATAGCCATAAACAGCAGTTTGGACATCCTGCACCCTATCAAGTACTAATAAAAGCCACCATCTTGCCAGTTATTTAGCAATGTATTGTTAGTCTTTACCAGGAGAATTTGAAAATGACCTTTTTAATTAACTCCTGCTTGCAATGTTTGAAGTAGAAAATTTTAGAGGTATATATATTTAAATTAGTACCTTGAATCATTATGGAAAAAATTAAAAGTAAAATGAAAAAACAGCTGAGATGTGAAAAAAGGTACAGAAATAGCTATTGCTACTTGAGATTTGAATCTTTATTAGATTCCATATCATACCCATTTTAAAACTGTTATATGTCGGAATGTTATTTAGCCCAAAACGGGAATGTAATTCCAACACATGCTCAGCATACATGAACTTTAAAAACACTCTAATAGTGAAAGAATGAACAAATACTGTATATTGTGGTTTGTGTCTAGTTGTCCCCACAAAACCTTACACAGTTATGGGGTAGACTTCTAGAATTTGTTATTAATTCATAATTCCAGTGCTAGGATTATAGGTGTGAGTGCTACACCCAGCCTGAGGCAGATAACCTGAATTCAACATAAGGGAGATAGACTTGCTCTCTGTGGCCATTTTGTTCCTGCTACCCTTCCCTTTGCTGTTGCTCTTTGCCTGCCACCATGAACAACTGCTCTGTGCCACCATGTGCCACTTTGCCTTTGATCCAGCTGAGTATAGACTAAAACCTCCACTAACTGTGAGTTAAATAAACCTTTCTTTCATTTGGGGTGCCAGGTATCTGTTGCAGCAACGAGAGAAAAGTAACTGAGACATTGTATAAGGCCACTATTATGAGGTCCTAGAATAGGCAGATTGATAGAGACATAAAGTGAATCTCTTGTGAGAGGCAGGGAGGTAGCTCAGTAGAATAAGCACTTGCCTGGCAAACTCGAGGTCCTTTGTTCAATCCCTGGTAATACACACACACACACACACACACACACACACACACACACAAAAATCACAGTTGTTAGAAGTTGGGGGAAAAGATAGATACTGTTTAATGGGTACAGATGTTTGGAATATGAGGGTTCTAAAATTGAATGATGGGGCTGGGCAGATAGCTTGGCAGTCTAAGGATTACTACGAGTCCAAGTTGAATAGTGAGACCCTGTACCAAATAATTTTTTTTAAAAATGAATGATGGTAA